CCGCCCCCCCCCCACCCCCCCGCCCTTCCCTGTTGCCAAACATACCTTCAGCCCTCTTCCTGTCGATGTCCACCATTACCAACACCACCACCACCACCAATTGCTTGTAGTTATCTTCCAGCACTACGTCCGCTCCCGTCCGGTCCTACAGGAACTGGCGCTCTCCCTTAGAGAATCACTTATGCGCTTTGTGTTACTTCCTTCCATATTTTTTGCAACATCATCATTGCCCTTTCCTTTTGCATGTTTGTATTATTTATGTTGAGGAGTTGTTGTAACTGATTTGAATTTCAGCAATAATATTTGCATTTTCATTGTGGTTTGGGTTAACTCTAATATAATTTGGTATCAGAGCTAGCCCAATCATAATCATGTTCTAGGAATCCCTAGCATCCATCCCCACCTAAGCCACCTCCACATAAATTTTTTTGCCCTAAAAGCTTTAACAAATGAGATCGAAGCTCCCCCAACCCCGGGAGATTGACACGAGAGCTAATTGGTCGAGGTACTCTAACTGCTACAATGTTGCGGACGCGGTATTGTAGTTGCTACAATGCTACAATGTTGTGGACGTGATATTGCAGTTGCCACAATACAGCGCCCTTCTCTCCCACTCTCCTTTCCTATTCCATCCCAATCCCCTTTTCTTTTCCTATATCTATCCAATTCCAATTACTTTCTATTCTATTGCTTGCCTTTTCTATCCCCATTCCTATTTCTATTTTTTTTCAATTTCAATTCCTCCCTATTCATTGCCTACCTTTTCTACCACCTTCAACTTCTAACCCAATTTCAAATTTCTCTGTGCTAGGATCCTTTATATTATGTTGTGTTGCCTAGGGTGAGGTGGTTTTTGATGATTATTGATTTTAGTTGCTGCCATTGAGCGTTCTTCCCTTTCGGGAGCAGCCTCGGCTGTAGTTAGCCCCCTACGAGAAAATTAACCTTAAGCATCTCTTTCCGGAACGTCTCTCAGTAGCCGTAAACCATCTTCTATGTTGTTGTTTCCAGCCCCCTTCCAGTAGCTGCAAGCCACTTTCCAGCCATCTTCCCGTCGTCGTCCAGGCTTTCGGTCTCCCAATCCTGCTGCTGCCCAGCCCACTGGCACCTTTTATTGCGATTGTCCAGTCCACCCTCACCTCATCCAACTACCATCCAGCCTCTGTACACCTGTTCCTGCTGTTGTCCTACACACCACCACATGTATGTTGTTGTCCACGACCACTGAAGCCCCTCTAGTCCCCTTGCAACCACCACAAAGGCCTCCCAATCCTTCATGTTGTCGACCAGACCTCCACCCTCTCTTTTCCTAGAACATCCCCTTCTCCTATTTCTATCAAATTACAATTCCAATTCCTTCATATTCTAATGCTTGCATTTTATATCCCCTTTCCTATTGCCATTTATTTCCAATTCTAATTCCTCCCTACTCATTGTCTGCCTTTTCTAGCACCTTCCACTTATATCCCAATTTCAAATTTCTTCCTATTTCTTTGTGCTAGGATCTTTTATATTATATTGTGTTTGCCTATGGTGTGGAGATTTTTTTATGATTGTTGATTTCAGTTGTTGCAATTAAGACGTTCTTCCCCTCTGGGGGCTGTATCAAATGCGAAAAGGTGCTCCGGCTATAACTCTTCTGTGTTGAAAGGTTCGGGTAGTGCTCCGGCTGCAGCTTAACCTTTGCGAGACATTTATCATTCCACATCCCCCTCTTGCCCTGCTTCCGACAACCACAAACCATCTTCCCAATCCACTTCCAACAGCTACAAGCCACCTTCCAGCCATCTTTCCGCCGCCTTCCGAGCCTCCAGGCTCTTTCCTGTTGTCACCAAGCCCTTTCAAGTCGATTCTTGTTGCCGCCAGCCCCTCCAGGGTCCATTCGTGCTGCTGCCCAGTTGTCCAGTCTACCCACCCCTCATCCAGCTGCTGACCAGCTTCTGGACACTTCTTCCAGCTATCTTCCAGCCCACCACCACCGACCTGCTGCTGTCCAGGGCCACCACAGCCCCTCTACAGTCCTCTTCCAGCCACCACACAAGCCTCCGGCCCTTCCCTGTTGCCAAACATACCTTCAGCCCTCTTCCTGTCGATGTCCACCATTACCAACACCACCACCACCACCAATTGCTTGTAGTTATCTTCCAGCATTACGTCCGCTCCCGTCCGGTCCTGCCGGAACTGGCGCTCTCCCTTAGAGAATCACTTATGCGCTTTGTGTTACTTCCTTTCATATTTTTTGCAACATCATCATTGCCCTTTCCTTTTGCAAGTTTGTATTATTTATGTTGAGGAGTTGTTGTAACTGATTTGAATTTCAGCAATAATATTTGCATTTTCATTGTGGTTTGGGTTAACTCTAATATAATTTGGTATCAGAGCTAGCCCAATCATAATCATGTTCTAGGAATCCCTAGCATCCATCCCTACCTAAGCCACCTCCACATAATTTTTTTTGCCCTAAAAGCTTTGACAAATGAGATCGAAGCTCCCCCAACACCGGGAGATTGACACGAGAGCTAATTGGTCGAGGTACTCTAACTGCTACAATGTTGCGGACGCGGTATTGTAGTTGCTACAATGCTACAATGTTGTGGACGTGATACTGTAGTTGCCACAATATAGCGCCCTTCTCTCCCACTCTCCTTTCCTATATCTATCCAATTCCAATTACTTTCTATTCTACTGTTTGCCTTTTCTATCCCCATTCCTATTTCTATTTTTTTTTCAATTTCAATTCTTCCCTATTCATTGTTTACCTTTTTCTACAACCTTCAACTTCTAACCCAATTTCAAATTCCTTCGTACTTTTCTGTGCTAAGAATTTTATATTATGTTGGATTTGCCAAAGGTGTGGAGGTTTTTTATGATTATTATTTTAGTTAATGAATTTGAGGCGTTCTTCCCCTCCAGGAGATGTACCCGATGATGGCAAAGTGCTCCAGATGCAACTCATCCGAGGTAGTGACAAGGGATTGGCTGGTGCACCGGCTGTAGTTTGACCCCTACGAGAAAATAAACCTTAAGCATCTCTTTCCGGAACGGCTCCCAGTAGCCGTAAACCATCTTCTATGTTGTTGTTTCCAGCCCCCTTCTAGTAGCTGCAAGCCACTTTCCAGCCATCTTCCCGTCGTCGTCCAGGCTTTCGGTCTCTCGATCCTGCTGCTGCCCAACCCACTGGCACCTTTTCCTGCGATTGTCCAGTCCACCCTCACCTCATCCAGCTACCATCCAGCCTCTGTACACCTGTTACTGCTGTTGTCCTACACACCACCGCATGTATGTTGTTATCCACGACCACTGAAGCCCCTCTAGTCCTCTTGCAGCCACCACAAAGGCCTCCCAGTCCTTCTTGTTGCCGACCAGACCTCTAGCCCTCTTCTTGTCGATGTCCACCATTACCAGCACCACCGCCTCCTGCTAGTCATGTTTCAGCACTACCGCCGCACCCTTCCAGTTTTGCCAGAACTGTAGCTCTCCCATAGAGTGAGTTGTTTATGTCTTTTGTGTTACTTATTTTTCAGAACGTTCCCATTGTCCTTTTTGCTTGCATGTTTGAGTTATTTATGTCGAGGAGTCGTCGTTGTATCTTATTTGAATTTCAATAAAATTATTTGTATTTTCATCGTGGTTTGGGTTAACTTTAGTATCATTCAAACTTTGAATTTCTTGAAAAATCAATTTTATCTATTATTTTGGAAGATAAGTTAAAATTAATCTAATATGAAGCTCGTCAATTCTCAAAATATTTAAAATTCTTATCCCAATCTATAATATAAAACATTAAATATTTTTTCTTCTATTTACTTTGATAACTAGGAGCAATCCAAAACTAAAATTTAAGAAAAAAATTAATTATTTTCATATATAATCACTTTATAGCCATATGAATATTCCTTACGAAAGAAAACTCTAAGGAATATCAAATATTTAAAATTCTCAATACTATGATTCAAACTCTAAGGAATATCAAATACTTAAAATTTTCAATATTATGATTCAAACTCAATTTCTAATAAAGTGTGGGTGTCTAATAGTGCAAAAAAATATATCACTTAAATCCTAGGTGATTGTCTATATAAGTCAACAAATAGTGCATGAATGCTCATATGCTGTCTAATAGTGCAAAAAAATATATCACTTAAATCCTAAGTGATTGTCTATATAAGTCAACAAATAGTGCATAAATGCTCACACGACAATAAAATGGGATAACAAAATATAGACTTTATCTTGAAGAAATCAAATCACTAATGTACATTACATATGTTACAAAACAAATTTGAAACAAAATTACATCAACCACAACATTTCCCATGAATACAATGTATTTTATCATTCTGAACTTTCAAATTCCAAGCCAACTACTCCAATGCTCTTTCTCAAACAGTATAATTATCTCCACGATTACCATAAAAGTGTTTACGCAATGTGAATATGGCCATGTTCCACCATAAAATATAAGTAAACTTAATCAAGGGGGAATATTCAAAGGATATCTCCTAACCAAAAATAATGTGTGAACACCTAACAGAGATCATTTTTATAACTTTGTGGATCATTTTTAGTTATTTTATAAGTTCACTAAGATTATCCTCTTTAAAACCAATCATATTATCCTAAAGTTAGAATTTAGGGATTTTAAAAAAAAAAAAAAAATTAACATTTAGGAGAAAAGTCTAAAAAACAACTACATTGGAGACCTCCATGTCTATTGTGCCTAATCCTATGACTTGTTGGCTTATAATTGGACCTTAGGGTCTAATTCTTCCTTATTCGAGCAATTTATCTCCAAGCCTATTTGTACGCATTAAAAATTGTAAGATAATTGTTCATTCCAAAGAAAGAAAACAAGAAATGGAGAAACAAGTAAAATTTGAGAAAGCTCTATCATCTGCTTCAAACACTTGAATTGAGTTATTATGTTCATAATAGAAAATTTGTTCTGAGAAAATGTGTAAAGTATTGCACCAATCACCCTATCTATAACTTTGTATCTTACGAGTGACCTCCAAATTTAGTTATATTTTTTAGCAATATTAATCAATGTCAATTCTCGATGAAATAAAAAATTTGTAAGTGAAAAATTGCTACATGAGATTAGATTTAAATACTTGAAATAACAAACATGATAGATTACTGAGCTGCTACCAAGAAAGGAATCAGTACAGTGCAAATGAATTTTTATCATCAAACCCACTGCTGATGGAAGCAAAAAGAGTTTAACACATGACATGTGGTGATTTAATTTACACAATCCTATAAAATTGAATACAATGACTTTTGCTCTCATAATACAAGTACTCTTATATCTCGCAAGTAACTTGGATCAGCTAGTTTTCTAGGTAAAATTTCAAGAATGACTTAATAGTGATAGAGAAGAAAAATTGTAAAAGAAGAATCCTCCTAACCTTCAAAAAATTGTCAAAATAAACAAAGTATGGAAACTTAAAGATTCTAACACGACTAGAAGCAAACCCCCTTTGTTTGGATTAAAAAACACACCAATATAGTCAAATTTCACAGATATACAATGCCAAGTTTATCATATAATATTTTGTCAAATTATCAACTAAAGGGAAATCCATTGTTCTAATTGGATATGTTCATGACATCATTCTCGGAGGAGTTTTTGCGGAAGAAATGAGTAAACTAAAGAGACTTAGAGCCACAAATTGAAGATTAAAGTCTTGGAGAAAAGTGGTTGCTAATCTCAGTAGGGTGTCTTAATATCAAAAAGTAATATTTGCAAGACCTATTTATAAAAACAAGAGTACCGTGGTGTAGACCAACAAATACCCCCATGGATTTGAAAATTATGCTCGAACCCAAAGATGATACTGATCCACTTAATAAGGTCATTGTTGAACAATTCTTAGCAAACTCATTTATATCTCACTCTAAAAATAATATTGAATTACATTTAAGTATTTCTAAAAATCTTATGCAGCATGATTGCAACAAACAAATTGAAATAGATCAACACTTCATCAAACAAAAGAAAAATAGTGGGATCATATCTTTTCATTATACTCCAACTCACCATCACATAGCAAGCATTCCCACATACCCCTTCACCAAATAAGTTCTGAAAAATTGAGTCCCAAGTTGCTGGTGTTGAAATTTAAAAAAGATGACCAAATTCTTCAAACGGATTAATTAGCAAGATTATTTATTTCTTTATTAATGTTATGTAGTTCCTTGTTTTAGAGAATGTAATTGAAAATTAATCTACTATACAACATAAATAATGAAGAATATAATTAAGAGAAAGTTTATTATAATAAGAAAATAATAATTTTATTTCATTTATTTATATTTATCTTTCGATGTTAGAAAAAGTGAAAGAAGAATACAATTATCCTGCTCAATTTCTATCTTGTGTAAATTTTTACATGATTCTATGTTAATGGCACATTGTCGTGCACTCAATGGTCAAAAATTCAGAGAAGTATTAAATCCCTTTTTATAAAACTCTAACAAATCAAAATACAACATCAAATAGTCCAAATTGATAACTCCTTTGAACAGGCATCTGACTAGATACCATCCATAAGCCGACATGATGAGTCCACCAGGGCGAGTGAGCCAAGCAGGTAGCAAGTTTGATGAATATCTACGATGAAGTTTAATCAGCAAAGGGAGGGTGCCCATTCAAACCTCTCAACTCTATAAATTGAAAAGAGTTGATGGGAAAGAGGTGATGGGACAAATTATTATTAGCAATTGGATTGAAATCTCTTTGGGTAAGCATATGAATCAAATTTAGGCAGCTAAGAAATAGTAATGGTGTGTTATAACTTGGTATTCAAATGTTTGTTTCTCTAAGAGCAGTTGATCATAAATGGCCGGTGAATCGGAGTCATATATTAATCACAATAATTCTAAGAATTTTCTAAAATTAAATTTAGGCCATCTGAAAATAATAATTATAAGTTTCTATTTTTATTAAAATATACATCTTCTTGAGAGGAATTCAACGTCACAGAGGCCGCAGATCAGTCATCTGTGGAGATAGCGGGGGCAATGGGAACTTGAAATCTATGCATGTGAACTAAGTGAAACTAAGGCATTTCATGATGGTGTGATGCTAAATCAAGCAAAGTGGCATCAAAGATAAGCTTGGAAACACGAGAGAAATCTCAAGCAGAGGAAAGTTGTAAGAAGCCAATGTGCCTGTAAGAGGACGAGAGTTTGGAAGACGGTTGATTGGGGAGTCAAATGCGAGGTCACCAAGCATGGGAGTCATCAGTCATGAGGAATACGGTGACAAGAGGGGATTTCTATTGGATATGGTTGCAGATACACATGAATTCAAGAGTTTGTGGGTTGTTTGGAGTCATTTGGAAAAGGAGGCCAATAGACATGTCAAAGAATCACAAAAAGAAGTGTCTCGTAGCTTTCTCTAGTGTAATGGCTTGTGACCATAGTAATGAGGAAGATATTGAACTATGATCAAGCCTCATTTACTTGAGTTTCGAACACCAAGGATGATAAGGCAATGAGAGAAAAAGTGAAGTATAACAGAGATGCAACCGCCCTCGTAATGACTTCATGCAAAGTAACTTGCAAAGGAACTATATGTCACATGCAGCTAATGTTGTAGAACAGCACAAGTACTACAATTGGAATAACGGGTAAATTAATTTTCAAAAGATATAATATCGAATTAGACCCAATTAATTTTTGACCTTTTAAGCTATTTGCATAGGCATTAACTTGTTTTAAAACCATTTAAAAAGATATACAAGCCAAACAAATACTCAATGACTACCGGCTCAATCCCTCAAAATGATGTATTATTTCATAGGCTAAATAGACTATTACTTAGGGGTTGTTTGGTTCATTGTATTTGTGATATAAAGTAAAGCAAATGCAGGGGTTCTCAAAATATTGATGTTTGGTTGAATGAAAATGGAAAGCAATGTAACACTTCAGCGAATCTTTTGTCTTAGCTAAATTGAAAGCCCTATAGCATTCATTTTTGGTCAAATGACATTTCAATTACATCCTGGGACATCAATCTTTGACCCAACACAAGTTTTCCACCTCCTTATGTTGATCTTTTGTAATAACACTTTACAATCTTTGACTCGCTTGCAATAAGTTAATGCAAACTTAATCCATAGAATAAATTTCCATAATAATATCATAAATCAATAGGTTAATCAATGATTAAAGTAAATACTCATATAATGATCAAAAGAAAACAATGTACCCATGTAGGAATACCAAAGGCCGAGATGTTTAACCTCCTAACAACTCGGCTTGATTGTAAT